ACTGCAAATATTTGTGCAAATACAGGCAAATAAAAATGCATTTTCCATTTTTACCTGGGTATTTCCATATTTTGTGTTAGCAGTTTAGGCAAAATATTTGGATAACATGCACCTTGACATACACTAGATTATTATTTTTTCTTCAGAAAACAGCTATTATTCAATTCAGTAATTAATACTTGTCTCAGTTTTGCAGTTCTACTGTAAGTGATCTTGTTGATTTAAATGATCAGTGATTAAACTGCTCATTTGCATGATATTAAGTGCAACCTTTGCAAAAATAGGCCATCATTTATGATGTGTTCTGAGCACAGTGACAATTAACACCTTACTTTTTATGATTCTAATGCTAGCTTGATTATTTAAAAATAATATCTTTATATAAGTAGCCTAATTAGAAAATGACTTGCCTCCAGCTTGCATATTTCCAGCACAGATAAGGTTAAATATGTTCCTTTACATAAAAAAGCAGGTTAGTGTTATTGCTTGTCAAGAGGAAGTGGTGATTATTTCAATTTAACTCTGTATCTTTAACTAATGCTGCTATTTCTTGGTTTTCAAGTTAAAGTGTACTGTACTGTTGAGGCTGATGCTAAATGTGCTTGAGGCAGCCACAAAGAGTGTAACAGAATCACACATCCTCTTTCACCTGATCTTCAGACAATAATCTGATCTGGTAAGTATTAAAATAAAACAGGTTATCTATAATATATGTATGTGTGATGGATGTATTAAACCAAACATGTAAGTAGGAGTGTAGTTACAATAGTGAGCAATGCTTAAAAAAATGCTTACTGATTCCCTCCAAGTACTAAGAACTTTTCCTTACAGAAATGTGTCTTTTTCCTGAGGTCTTTCTTTATCCATTGTCTTCTGCTTGTATAATTCGAATAACATATTTGTATTTAAGATTGTAGTTTAGTCTTATTTTTGAGTACTCCCATATTGCTTTCATAGTAAAAAGAAATATGATCGTGTGGTTAAACTGGAAAAATATTAAGCTAAAAAATGCAAGGGTTATGTATTTAATATTCAGAACTTAAGCATATTTGTGTGCACATGCATAGACATGTGCCCATATGAAGTATATAAACAATGTTAGAACACCCCCCCCTCATATATATGGAAATTTACTTTTTATAATTACCTAATAGAGCCATAAATATGCAGATTATAGATTATAAAGATGCCTATTGAAAGATTGTTAGAAAGATTTAAATTGAAGAGAAAATTGTGCTTATAGGAGTTCTGATTCAACTTCTTTTGCAGCCAGTGCGGATTATAGATTATAAAGATGCCTATTGAAAGACTGTTAGAAAGATTTAAATTGAAAAGAAAATTGTGCTTATAGGAGTTCTGGTTCAACTTCTTTTGCAGCCAGTGCATCTTCTTAATAACTTCAGTGAATGCTATTTTAAATTCAGAAAAGGAAATCAGCTCAGGAGATTTAAATCAGGTCTTAAATCTGATCTCTGCAATTCTGGTTTCAGTTTGAGTCCTTCTCAGCTGCTTTCGTACCAATGATCCTCAATAAGTTTTTGCAGGACAGTGTAAGTCCTTTTGTGAATAAATGTGTGACTGGTGGTGCCCTTGGAAATTCCTGTAGCATCAGGGAGAGTACGCAGCTCTCCCGTGATGAGCGGTTGTTGGTTGTTCCCTACTGGCTTTCTGCTGAGCTCTTCTGAGGACTAGAGAGCACTTCTGCAGTGCTAATCTGAAGACATCTCCTTAGCCCTCCTTGGAGGCTGTAGGGAACACGCGTGCTCCTTTCCTCCCAAATGCCTTTGAACTGTCTTCTTCCTTCTACACGTTATACTAACGTTTGAGAGTGGCTTTGGCTAAGCGGAATGAAGAGTGACTGTTTTATAGAGAACACATGCTGTCAGACTCTGTATATTTTAACCACGTGTGTTCTAGAAAGACATGAATGACACATACCTAGAAAGGTATTTTTCTTACAACAGTAAAGTAGCAGTTTCTAAACTAATAACCTAGATGGGTACCCTTTTAGTGCTGTCTAACTGAAGACTTACTGTAGTTGCAACCAAGTGCAAAGGGTAACAGAACCACTAAGCAAGAGCAGGAGTATCTGGCTGGATGTGGTCAGAGGAATATAAAGCAGAAGATGGAGACTAGAGCTGCTCAAAGGTGGGCTAGCAGACCACAGCACCAGATGAACTGTACAACTTACCTGCTTGCCTTATACATCTTTGCACTTATGAGAGACACTTTAAATAGTTTAAAGCTTGCTTCAGAAGGAGTTCAACTGCTTTCAGGCTGTCATATTCTTGCAGCTTCTAAAAATCAGCTTTGAAAAGCCAACAGAGGAAGCTAGAAGGGTTGTTAAAGATTTATTTAAAGGACAGGAAAGCCACAAAAACTGTGATGCTTAAGCAAACATCATATAGTATGGGTCTTTACCCATCTGCAGCCTTCTGTCATGAGACAGCCTCCCCATGAGTCACAGAGAGTTTCATCCTCACTATGCTTTTTGGAGACTGTTCAGTTCCTCCCTCCTGCAACCTCCCAGTTATATCTGAACTACATCTGCCCCACTTTTACAGATTATCTCTCTCTCTCTCTCTCTCTCTCTTTCAAAATTCAGATAATTCCCAAACAGGAAGGATTTGTTTATCTAGACTTAAAGTTGTCCCATGTACACTTCCTAATTATCAGCACAACTAACAAAAAGAGGAGAAACTCTAGGCAAAACTGCCATTGACAGCCTTAGTAAATACAGGACCTCATGTTGACCAGTCCCCACTATTACTGCAATGCTGGTATGTGCCGTTCTCACAGAGCAGCTAATGGAAAGAGGAAGAGGCCTGAACTCACGCACGGGAATGCTGAGGAACTAAATCTCCTGCCCTGGGTTCCTGTGTGAGGTTGAAGAAATCATTTAAGGCCCACTTCGGACATGTGTCCACAAATGGCGTGTTCCCCATTTTATCTGTCTGTGGTCTGATTTGCATAATTCTAAACTTTGGTGCAAACAGAGTCAATGGATTTAGTCCTTTACATAACTAAAGTCCTTCATAATGCTAAGTGCTAGTAAAAGTGATGTTGGGGGGGACAGATGTCTCAAACTGAACATCTCAAGCAGGTACTTCCTGTAGTGACTCAGTGCTCAGGTTCCTTCCCTGTAAAATAAAGGTAATAATACCTCTTCACCACAGTGTTGTGCAAATTAATTACCATTTGTAAAATACTTAGGTATCACAGTGATAAAGAAAATGAATTATTTTCATAAAGTGTAGTCTATAGCAAAAAGATTTGCACACTGAACAAAGACAAAACAACACTAGTGCCCAGTCCGTTCATATGTTGTGTACTATCCATTGCACTACAAGAAACAATTATCCTGGCACTCTTAATTTGCCTCACTAACATAATAAAAAAGGGCAAGTAATGTGATTTTAGAAGTGCTGAGACACACTGATACAATAGTAGCAGTTAAAAAATGTTAAAGTTCCATATTACTTTTATGGAGCATACAAAGGTAGTGCTGCATGTTCAGTTGGCACGGCCAGGTTTTGATAGGGTGGGGCATAGGGGTGGCTTCTGTGAGAAGCTGACAGAATCTTCCCCCATGTCCAACACAGCCAATGCCAGCTGGCTCCAAGATGGACCCACCGCTGGCCAAAGCTGAGCCTATCAGTGATGACATTAGTGCCTGTGTGATAAAAAATGTAAGAAGGGGAAGGAAAAAAACAATTGCACAACAGCAGCTGGAGAGAGAGGAGTGAGAACATGTGAGAAAAAAACAACTTTTCAGACACCAAAGTCAGTGAAGAAGGAGGGGGAGGAGGTGCTCCAGGGGCAGGAGCAGAGATTCCCCTGCACCCCATGATGAAGACAATGGTGAGGCAGGCTGTCCCTTTGCAGCTCATGGAGGTCCATGGTGGAGCAGATGACCACCTGTAGCCCATGGAGGAGCCCATGCCAGAGTAGATGAATGCCTGAAGGAGGCTGTGACCCCATGGGGGACCCACACTGGAGCAGTCTGTCCCTGAAGGACTGCACACCATGGAAAGGACCCATGCTGGAGCAGTTTGTGAAGAAATGTAGCCTGTGGGAAGGACTCATGTTGGAGAAGCTTGTGGAGGGCTGTCTCTTGTGAGAGGGCTTCTACGCTGGAACGAGGGAAGAATGTGTGCCGTACTCCCTATGAGGTGGAAGGAGCAGAAGAAATAACATGTGATGAACTAGATGCAACCCCCATTCCCCATCCCCCTGTGCTACTGGGGGCGGGGGGAGGTAGAGAAATCGGGAATGAATTTAAGCTCTGGAAGAAGGGAGGGGCAGGGGAAGGTGTTTAAAAATTTGTTTTTTATTTCTCATTATCCTGCTCTGATTTGATTGGTAATAAATTAAATTCATTTTCCCTAAATTGAGTATGTTTTGCCTGTGACGGTAACTGGTGAGTGATCTCCCTCTCCTTATCTTGACCCACGAGCCTTTTGTTATATTTTCTCTCCTCTGTTCAGTTGAGGAGGAGAGCGATAGAACGGCTTTGGTGGGCACCTGATGTGTAGCCACAAACCACATGCTGTTTATGTGTTTGATATTTTCCTGAATACACTGATTGCCATTGTCATACAGAATTTCTGAAAGTAAAATTTAGTCTAATTTCTTGTGGTGTAAAGTCAATGTGAATTAAGAGTCACATATTCTCTTATATCATTTATTACACCTATGAATAAACATCTCAGATATAAGATTGTTCTTTTAATGATACTGATACAAACCTTCTGCTTTCCACAACTGTACATTGGGCTGTGGAGTTGTGTGATTTGTTGAGATTGTCCTGTGTATTGTTGATATAGTTGAAGTGATGAGATTCTTCTTTGAATAAATGTTTTATTTCCAATTTTGTTTTTCTACTTGTTCACATTTCTTGTGCTGGTTTCACAATCTGATCTATTTTCTTTTCAGAAATCCTTCAAGCATTTTGAAGATCTTCTCAACATACTTTTCTTTCTGAGGAGTGTGCTGCCAAAATGAATTTTGTAAGTACTTAACTGACAAACTCCATTAGTACATCAATAAAACAATTAAACTGGAAGTCCCAGCTCTTTGAGGCTGCTGGCCCAAATGCCCTTATTTTAGGAGTGATAAGCTGAAGATATGTTTCTGAATATGTTTCTCACAGCAGAGTTAACTGTCAAAGCACACTCTTTATTGGGTTATGCTCCCCTAATGGAACTACAGGTTTGGTGTCTGTGGTGCAGGTAACTGTCTCTGAGGTCAGCCATCCTGTATTGCCTGTCTAGCTGAGTGGAGAGAAGTAATCATTTTTGGGCTTGATTTAGCCAAGCTACATTAGTATGATTATGTATAACATACTTCCCCTCCCTTGACCGTAAAGGAACTCTAGACCTCTACTTCGAATTCAGACTTTTACACTGAGTCTTCTGTGATGGCAGACTAATCCTTTCTGCATAATGTATTTAAAGATTAAAATCTTTCAGGCCATCCAAAAAGATTATGTACTTGTTTATATATTAATTAAGATTTTATTAAATTCTCTAGTTACTTCTTGCAAGTCTCCTCTGCAGTGTTAAATATATCTGTAATTGGGGTGTGTGGTGAGTGAAAACAGAGTAAAACATGTAGTGTTGGAGCAAAAACAGTGCTGTGGTCTGTCTTCGGATGAATTTGATATAGACTTGAAGCTGAGACATGGGAAGGATTGGACAGAAGTATGACAGTTATCATAAGGAAAATGTCACTTCCATTTCAAATCAGTGCTCCATATAATACTTGTATGCTAATTTTCAAAAGATTTCCAAAGTACCTTGTATTTGTATGACTTTGTTATCTATCATCTTTCCACTGTATGGAAATTAACACCTATGTGTTAACTGGTCATCTTCTTTTTTACAGACAGAGTCTCGTACCACAGATTATCCATATTATTCAGACTATGCTTCTCTAATCACAGAACCTTGTTCTAAGCTGGAAGTCAGGAACTTCACAAAAACATTTCTGCCAGTTGCATATTCCTTGATTTGTATCATCGGCCTGGTTGGTAACATCTTTGTAGTGATGACCTTTGCTTTATATGAAAGAAGCAAGTCCATGACGGATGTGTACCTCTTCAACATGGCCATAGCAGACATACTTTTTGTTCTCACTCTCCCACTGTGGGCAGTGAATTATGCTGCTGACAAATGGATTTTTGGTGATTTTATTTGCAAAATGACCAGAGGTATCTATGCAATCAACTTCAGCTGTGGCATGCTGCTTTTGGCCTTTATCAGCGTGGACCGGTATATTGCTATCGTGCAGGCAACAAAGTCATTTAAACTCCGGGCAAGAACACTTGCATATAGTAAACTCATTTGTTTGGTTGTGTGGGTATCATCAATTTTAATCTCTAGTTCCTCTTTTCTATATAGTGAAAGTTACAGCTTCTCCATCAATGAAACCAAGGAGATTTGTGATCATAGATTTGACAGAATGTCTGAAAGCACAATGCTGAAATCACTGCTGCTGTGTCTACAAGTTGGATTTGGATTTTTTATACCTTTCATATTCATGATTTTTTGCTATACGTTCATTGTCAAATCCTTGCAACAAGCTCAGAATTCGAAAAGAAACAAAGCAATCCGTGTGATTGTATTAATTGTAGCTGTTTTCCTAGTTTTCCAGGTACCTTATAACCTTGTTCTTCTTGTGACAGCCATAAATATGGGCAAGATAGACAAGTCTTGTGATAATGACAAGATAATGGCCTATGCAAAATACACCACTGAAGCCATAGCTTTTTTACACTGTTGTGTGAACCCTGTGCTCTATGCATTTATTGGAGTGAAGTTTAGGACTTATTTTGTGAAGATAATGAAGGACCTATGGTGCATGAGATACAAGAAATACAATAAACGTAGTTCAAGGACAAACTCTGATACTTATCACTCGAGACAGACTAGTGAAATTCTGACTGACAATGCATCTTCTTTTACTATATAATACAATTTGAACAATATTATTACTGAAGGAATCTTCTCATTGAGCAACGCAAACCAGTGTCACTGTGCCTGTGACAGCAAGTCATCTGGGCTTCTCTGCACCTCTAAGGGACCCCGCATGATATACAACTCGCTTCAGGAAAATAATTAAGATAAAAGAATAACACCGTCCTGTGGAAAATTGGAATCTTATTGACCTCTCTTAACATTTACACTCTTCTAAAGTGCACTGCTTAGAATTATCAAGAAAGTGAAGTTTACAGAGGAATGCTCCTTGTTTTCTAAGGAAAAATTGCATCTCATATGTCCTTCACCACTGAAATATCCCAAGAGTACTAATTAAATGAATCAGGTTATGTCCAGGCTCATTCTACTTACATTTATGTTGTTTCTATTAATTACTTCTACCTGGAAATCCTATTTAAGTGTAGGTGTCCACTGTGCTTTTGTTGCAGACAGGTCACTGCAGTAATATTAACCTAAAAAGACTGCATTTTGAGCAAAGCACGACAAAGAAAGCAAGCAGAGAAATGAAGAAACAAGATCAAGGCTGCTGGCATAGCTGGGCTATGCCATATGTTAGGTCTTGTAAATCTTTGTCCAGTTCTACGTTCTACCTGCTTATCGGGAATTGCTTGCACCAAGGTTGAGGCTGGTCAGAACCAACAGTGACATGTCTACTAAAGATAATATTAGAAAAAAAGAAAACTATTAATTAAAGAGAACACTGAAATATCCACAGAAAAGTTTTCTGATGTCTGCCAAGATTATCTTTTGAATAGAAAACAGAGCTTTGCTTGAGAGATTCTTCTCTTCACTTGGCACAGGATTCAAGTGCTGGAATCCATCAAGGCTGATCATCTGGTGAATGTCTCTTTGTGAAAAGTTGTTTCTTGCTAGCTGAAATTCGCACTCCACTTTTTAGAAGGCAACAAACTGTACAGAACTGCAATTATTCCAATACTGTGATTCTGTGATCCTTTTTGTTGGAACTTGATCAGCAACAAAATGTGATGCATTTCTTTCTATTTATCTACCATTAGCAAAGTTTCCTTAGGAATGGATTTACTAGCACAAATATGCATATATGAAATTTACTCCATTAGCTTCAGAAATTATGAAGGATTATAACTAATAATAAGACCAGAATTTGACTTAATCCAGCCAGAATTTTTACTTAGTTAATCAGCATTTGACTTAGTATGAATACAGAAATATTTATAATAAATTCAATTAGTTTTACCCAGCCATGACTTTTCAGCAAACCCCCAGTGCATCTTCTGCTCCTTAAGTGAGCTTCACCCCACTGTAGCAGTCATGATGGGATGGTGAAGTAGACAGGAGCAGGAGATGGAGGGCAGAGGGGCAGGATGGAGGAGAGGACCACCACTGTTACCTGTTTGCAGTCTGCTGAAGTTCCTACCAGTCCTCTGCAGTTCTGCTGCAATGCGAGCAGAAACCATGGAAGTGCCTAGAGTTGCTGTCATGTGAGATTTTACACTCCTATGGCTGTATAAATTAATGCAATTTGCAGTGTGCTGTTTACCTTGGCTGTTTGGGTTTTTTTTTGGGGGGGGAGTTGGTTTGGGTTTTTTTTGTTCATTTGTTTTTTTAAAGTTCATGGCTGAAGAGCTAGTGGGGCTTGGATCACAAACCATGTCTTTCAGTGGCAATGCAAATGGTCAAGAAGGACAGTGCTGGAGCTGAAGATCCCTTGAGGACGGGCATTGATATCGCATGACTCAAAACTAGTACTGCCTTGGCTGGTGCAATCCATCCTGCTTTACAATGCAGTGTTAGGTTTTTAAATATCAGCACCAGGTGTGATAAAGATTGCATATATTTATCATGGCTGAATAGGAACTTAGGCAAGAAAATGATATAAAATTATGTAAATGCAGATGCATGCATTTGCTGTATATAGCACTGATGATTTTCTGGAAGAGATCAGCAAATAAAAAATGTAACTGAAAAGGAAAAAATCCTTCAGATTTAAGAGTTTCTTGCTACATGTATTACCTTGAAACATTATCTTATTCAGTGCAAAATCTCCCATATCTGAACAACGTAGCATCCCTCAGAGGCTGCGTGAGGGAGTGTGCCCTACAGCGGGCTCACAACTGAAACCCACCAAGTGCTATGGTAGCTCCTGGGCAGAGTACTGCAAGGCTTGAAAGCATCCCCCTACCCTCCTGCCAGCCCTGCTGCCATGCCTGCATTGGCCTTCAGCCACTGAACAACCCAAAGGCTGCCCCAATGGCTGCCAGGTGGGGTTGGGGGGCAAGATGGCAGCCAAAGGGCAGTTGCTGACCCTGTCACCATCCCACTGGAGGGGTCTGGCTAACAGACCCCAGGGCAGAGAGGGAGTGCCCAGGACTAGGCAACTGTGCCATAGCCATGTGAAGTGGCTCCTCATCCCTCAGGATTGAGGAAGAAAGGGGAAGAGAGCAAAGCTTGATCCCACAGGCTGGGGCCTTCCCCAGGGAGAGGAGCCCGCCAGGCTGCCTCGCGTGGGTCACCAGCCCCTGGTAACCATGAGGGACCCTGGTGAGTTGGAACTGGTGGTGGTAGGACATCTGTCTCATGGGGGAGGCAACACAGCCTCTTGGTTGCTGTCTTGTGAGAGGGAAAAACACTCACTAGAAATGACATTGAAAAGTAGGAAACGTACCCATGATCCTCACTAGTGAGAAGTGTCATGAAGGGAAGAGGAACGTGTTACATGCGTGAGACCAAAACGGTGCTCGGGGTATGAATTGTGCTGATGTCAGAGTCTTGCAAAAAATCCCACTTGAGGTACAGCTAAAATCTCGATCACCACAAATGATTGCCCTGCCTCTGGGAAAAACAGGTGTGAAGGGTAGTACAGGCTCCCAAGGGGCTGCTTGGCAGGTAGAAACACAGCTCCAGCCTGTGCCTGTGGGGTGCTGGCTTTCTTAGGCAAATTTTGAGGACAACTATAGAAAGGTATTATAGGTTGTTAAAAATTTAATTTACATGCAATACCTTCTTATCAGTTTTGTGAAATGTACTCCAAGGTAGAAGAGCAAGACCAGGTCAGAGCAAACAACACTGTTTGGTGTTCAGCAGCAGGCAGTTGCGGCAGGTTGGCCAGCAGATGTTGCTGATGTGCCCTCTGTTATTCTGTCTTTCCCTTGGTGGCCATGTCAGTAGAAGTGGCAGGTGAGCTGGGGTGGGTGCTGGGATATTAGAGTATGAAAAGAGCACAGATTTATAGGAACTTGGGTGCTACTTTCACTGTTTATGGAGCAAATTTTCAGAGCTTGCTGTGGATGCTACTTTTTATAATTATTTTCATGTTGTGGTAGGTGTACAATACACTGTACAGTAAATGCATGGTGAAATTTTATTTTTTGTTGCATATATTCCATCTGTTATTTTTGAAGAATAATATATTGGTTTTATATAGGTCCTTGTTTCCTAACTTGTTTAAAGAGAGAGAAGGATGCATGCTGTGTTGTGTCATGTTGTACACACAGAAGATGCAGCTCATAAACTTCAAGAAGGCAATTCACAGCTTCCTCCAGCTGGGTACTGGGTCTGGGTTGTGGTGTTGGCTGCCCGTAAAAGTGTATGCTTGTTAGTGGGTTCCATTCTTCTTCTGGTGGCTCCACAGTGGCCTTGCTTGACACTTCCTGTTCAAGCAGTTCAGAAGGAGGTAAGTCATCACTGCACAGCATTAAATAAAGGCATAATATCTCAGTGCAGACAGCCTAAAATCTAAACCCATTTTTGACACAGATCATCTTGAAAATTGACCTGTTTTATTGTGTCCCCATAAAAACTGTCAGCTTTCTTCCCATAGTATTTAAATTTCATGTGCTATCTTCTCTATTTCAGTATTCATTTTCTTAGAAGAGTGATCACTAAAGCTGGTGAACCTGCAAGAGAGTCACAGTGAACAGGGGAGATCGAAGTCATTTGGGCCTTGCTACTAGCAAGGAGAGGCAGAGGAAAGAAAATGAAGATTATCTGCAAAGATAGACAACTGATGGAGATGATGGGTGGAAACTGAAGGAAGACAGGAAAAACAGAACATTTTTGTGATGGAGGACTATTGATAATTATTAAGTACATAACAGATATAATTATTAATTTATTACTTAGACCAAACTGCTTTGGATCTTTGTAGGTCAATCTTGTTGATGAGAATTGTGGAAATTTGGGGGGTTTTTTTGCTACAAAAGTGTCAAGAAGATGATACTTGAAGCTTTGAGAATTTAGACTGAATTGGAAAAAGTAGTTTTATGTTAAGTAAAAGTGGTAACGTTTTCAAAATGTCAAAAGAGCTTGTCTCCTGAAACATCTAAAATGTTTTGACATTTCCGATTAGTTTTTAGATACTATAATAAAAGCCCAGGAAATGATTTCACAAAACCACTGTAAGAGGCTCATGGTCTTCTAGGCTGCTGCCAAGCAATCAGGATATTCTCTACCACCTCCTGTGGTACCTCTTACCACCACCTGTGGGGTAGGAGCTCGTACCCTATTTGAAGCAGTTTATACAAAGTAAGCTCCAAAAACATGAATGTCTCGGAATGACAAAGTTACACAAAAACTGAGTAAGAGCTTAAAAAAATTTTGATAGAAGAATATTAATTCAACTGGTTTAGCTTGGCTTTATATATGTAGATCAAATGGATAATGCAGTAATTCAGTATGTATTTCTAACAAAAGGCAATTAAAATAAACGGAAGATGACACAGATAGGTCTTAATTCTCTTCTGGGTGGTGTAGTTGCAGGTCCTTCAGGCTGAAGAGGGAATTAAATGACATCTCCTCTACTGTGGGTGAATGACATAAGGCCTGGTGGTAGTGGTGTGACCACTAAAGAAAGAATTGTTTTCTGGGCAGCTTTGAGCATAGTTAAGTTCCTTTTATGACAAGTTCCTTAAACAAATTCTCCATTTCTGGTTGAATGAACTCCATTATCAAACCTGAGTTGAAAAGTGTCTAGGATTTATTTAGTCAAGAAAACAA